AAATATTCGTCGAAAGTGCAAAACGGTTTGCATTGGATTCTTGCTCTGTACACACATGTATAGAAACACAGTGGAAAGATATTAATTCCGTCGAGACGAAATTACGCGGAGTTTGCTCCCCCGAGGCTGCTATCCTCGAGGAGGATATGCAAGAAGAACGCGATATTTCGTAGCGTGGCCTCGTTAAACCGGTCTCCACTTCTGTTAGAAGCCGATTCGAGTAAAGGTATGTACGAATACGCTCGATGTAGTCGTCGTATGAATTATTACGTATTGAAATACGATTTTTTTCTTTTTTTTTTTTTTTTCTTTCTGTAATTAGGTTAGCTTGGTATTTTTGATAAAAAAAAAACCATAACTCTCGCTCTCGATCTCGAGATTGATCATTTAAGTTCCGTCACCGTCACCACGATTGTTTTTCTCTCAAGTAAAGTGGCGCGTAGTAGTAGAATATTTTTTTTTTTTTTAATGCGCGGTTAATAATTGGAAAAATTCAATTTGATCAATTATATCAATTGTTCAATTATATCAAACTATTAAAAATAAAATTAAAAATAGAAAACACGATGAATTTGTGGATGACGTACAATATAAATTTATGACATTCTTCGTGGTTGGGTTATAAAATGAGAATTAATACCGTAAAATATACATAAAATGTAAGTTTAACTCGCGATAAATTGTTGCAATCCATAAATTAACGATATATAGAAATATGAAGATTGTTAAATTGTTGATCGTTGTTTTTCGAAAAATTATTTCTGATCCATTCGGCAAAGAACGTGTATTCTCGTGACAGTTGGTATTACTTTCTATCCGATTACTATACAGAAGAGAGATCATTTCTTAACCTATCTGATAGATGAGAGGTATTATAAATTTGACTAAATTCAACGAATACACGCGAAAAATTTTCAATCTTTTCTAAATTTTTATAATTTTAATAATTATCTAACATTTAATATTGATTGTTGTATACGTATATTTATTATTTATTTTATTTTTTGATTAGTTTTTTTTATTTTTATATATTTACATTTTTAAATACTTATTTCTTGATTTTTTTATTAATTATTGACAGGTTTATTTATACTTTCACATATTTATTTATAGATATTATTTATTCATTTGTTGATTTAATAATTTATCTTTATTATATTTTTATATTATATATAGTCTCGACGTAATTGAGAGCTGGCAATAATTAGTATCGATTTTCGTAATTAAAATTATTGTTTAAAAATATTATAAGAGATATAAAAAGATTCTGTTAGAAAAATTCGTTTATGGAAAAAATTACATCAATTTCTTTGTTCCAGATTCCTTCTAATTTATTTATATTTTTCATATTCAATTTTGATTATTTTTCAATATTTTTCAAATTTCGAATATTTATAATTCATCATCTTATTAAAAACTATATATAATCTAGATTTTGAACAATCATAATTTTTCTGAATCAATAATGATTAAATTCATTAAGAATTCACAATTATTTTAAAATATTGAACAGAGTATTTTCTTCTCTAAAACGAATATTCGATAAAAAAAAAGGTTGAATAAAAGTATCGAAAGAATAATTTAATATTTTTTCAAATTTTGCAAATTTTTGTAATCGAGCGATGCAGTCGTAGTAGAATCAATATTTGCTTTTGTTTTTTTTTTTAAATCCTTTCTTGATGGATAACGGGTGGACAAATTAGACCCAACTGTTTGTTCATCGATTATAACTTAAACGGTCGCGTTAACGGTTTTTTTTTTTTTTTTTTTTTTTTTTTCTTTAAATATTTGTCTCGAGCACATATTGGAGTCAACGCTTCTTCTCTCGAGAGGATGAAACAGTCATCCATCACGCCAATGAAGGTAATTACCTTTCATTAATTTTATTTAAATTCTCATCCTTCTATCTCAACTTTTTATGGAAACGTTAAATTTTTGATTTCTCTTTAAGTTTCAAGTTTCCTTTATACGATTTTCTCGATTTTCGTTATTATATAGAATTCAAGGATACAATTTCAATTTTTATCATATCGGTTTAATAAAAAGTTTCGTTTTGTTTTTTAATAATTTCAAACAAATCGAACTGTTATTTGAATTATATTGTTTTTTTTATTATTGTTACAGATGTTTTCCTCCTACACGATGATGGCCTTAATGAACTTCGCATCTAACGATGAGTCGCACGTTTCTTTTCTTTTCTCGATCACAACGTGGCAGATTTTTGCTTGACGAGCATTCTAAAATTAATCATTAATTTTAATTTTCTTGCTTTTATTTTTCTAGCTTTTTAGACGCGGTAATGACCTCTCCGTAATTGCCATTGCTTTTTAAATTTTTCGTTTAAAAAGAAAAAAAAAGTTTTCAAATTTAGAAATATAAGGATATATTTTGTTTAGCAATAATAAAACTATGCATACTTGCAGCACCCAAAGCACGATTCCCTTTAATTATTTCGATCGATTTACTAATAGACTAGATATTAATAGAATCTAAAGGATAAATATCTCAAGGATATTTTTGTTCTATCTCATTCCCCTTTATCCCTCAATTTTTAAAAAAAATAGGTAATCAAACTTTCCTTTTAAATAAGATGAGAATATTAATTACATTAGATATTATATTATATATTAGATTAGTTAATATCGATTAGATTAAATTTATTGTAAAGACTCTTAACTTAAAGCAAAAAATAAAATTCTTTTACTCGTTTTTATCCTCTCTTTCGTTTCCATTATCTCTTTCATCTCTATTTCCTATTCGAATCGTTTCACGTTCCAATTTATTTTTACGATTATTTTTTCGTCGTTTATCTCATTATCGACTACGTGTCATGCAACAGTGGCAAGAATCGCTGGACCGATGCTCTACTCTGCTCCGATCGATTGGCATTCTTCGAATTAAAAGGATGCAAAGGATACAATCTTCTGGATATATGAATTTAGAATAAATATAAATAAGAAAAATAAATGATGAGCGAAGAGAGATAAGATAAAGATTATACAATTAATTTTCACTTCTTGAGTGCCGAAACAAAAAACAAATAGTAAAAAAGAAAGAGTAGAGATAATTTAAAACTTAATAGTTAACGCCATCTCTCGAGTATCGTGAACATATCTTCAAAGACGAAGTGAGGATTAAAGATAAGCATTATTTCTTGAATATTTTGTTATATTTTTGCAAAAGTATTTTTGGCGCTCGATAGATGGCGGTAGCGATCAAGTCTTGTTCTATCTCTATCCTTTTTCTACTTGTTTTTCTTGTCTATATTTGTGTTTTGTCGGCGCCATTCTAGAGATGGCGCTGATTGCACAATTTTTATTCTATCTCTGTCCTTCTCCCTCATTAATTTCTCTCTTTGTCTGTACTCGATCCACAAAATCACAGACAAGAATAGCATAAAAAGATTTAATATTTTTCGAGAACAAAAAAGAACGAAAAATGCATCGAGTATTAAGTCTATTCCATATTTTGTTTTTGATTTTACTAAATGATTTGTTTGTTATTTTAATTTATAGAGTATTACCGACTAGACTATCAGTAAAGAGAACATGGATCGTTTGCTAGCGCTACTTTTCGAATCTTCCAATTAATTTGCGAAACTGCTATCGGTAAAAGAAATATCTGCAATTTTGCAAACTTCACAATACCTCTTGCACGTTCATTCTTGCCTAATAATCGTATTCTTACAGTGGTGGCCGCGAGATTCTCTGCTTTCTGTTTTTCTTATATGGATGCGCAGAATCCTATATTTACCAATGCAAAGAGGTTGCAAATTCATTCGTGTCGTACCAATCGAACAGTGAACGAACTTACATATATAAAATTTTACTTTTTCATGATAGAACAACAAATTAACTTTATTCGTATATTTTATTTGCAAAAATATTGATTTTTAAATAAATGTTGATTTAGACATTTTCAAATCAAGTAAACGATATCTTTTATCTTTTAATGTATTCATTAATAAAAACCTAAATCATTTCCACATTCCATTTGATATTTTCAGGTTAAAAAATTTCTCAATTTTATAAAAGATACAATCGTAAGCGATATTAAATAACCGGTTATACTTTTGTGGCCAACTTAATATTCCAAACTCAAATCAATCTTTACGAGTATAAAATACTCGAACTCTATCCTTCGATGGAATTTATTTCTCATCGAAAGATACGATGCTTTACCATTTCCATCGTTCTTTCACGTATACGTATTTTCATCGGCCAATGTTCCGATTGAGAAAGATACGAGGGAAGCTGGAATAGCTACTTCATCCAACTCAGCCAACACCTTTAATAATTAAAGTTTAAAACATTCGAGTGCTAGTTGTAAGTAGACATGCAACTATGCCCGATAATTGCACGATGATAACAACGTTTGATAAGCGTGCAACAACTCGAACGCGGGTAATTGCATTAGAAAAATTCGCGTTATCTTAAATTGCACTTGACCCCTTCGAAAGACAAGAATCGCCACTCTTCAGCCACAATTTTGTACTCGTCTCGTTCCACGTCTCGCCATTTTTTAATTACATCGTTGCAATTAGGGATACAATTTCGATATATACGCACTGGAGAAAATCAATTTCAACGTTTTCCCTCTATGCGATTCGGAAATTATTGAGAAGTAAATAATATTTCGATTATATTCGTTCTATCGAATTCAATATCGAATAGTATCGAATCATACTCATCGAAATTATAAATTTCGAGAAGTAATTTTTATTTATTTTAAACGGATTTCTATTTACAATCCCCAGTTTTTTTTTCGACATATCGTTTGTTTAACATTGGAATTTGAATATAAATTATAAGAACAATTTTCGTACTTTTCCACGTAAATATTACATTAAATTAAAGTTGTATATAATTACTATTAAAAAATACCGATTGTTATCGTATTAAATTCATATAATATAAAAGTACATTATATATATATATTTATTTATTTTGTTTATCGACTCCAATTATTTTTTTACTTTCTCCCCGATTCTTTATGATTAACGAGATAATTCGTGAGAAGGAACGCTCTTTCGCGATCTTATCTACACGAAAGTGAATAATAAAAGATCCCGCAAATTAATTTCGTCCCATTTAAATTACACTTCACTACAGGCAAAATGCCTATTAATAACGACACTGTAACCATGTAATTTAGTTTGCGCGCAAGTGTCTCGAGACACGATGCATTCTGGTTTCCTTTAATGAAGATGCAACCAATTATCTTCGTAATTCATTATTCTTTCTTTTTTTTTTTCGCCTTTATTTTTTCTTCCTTTCTCTAAACTTCCTTTTCGACGGAAATTTCGTGCTTCCGTTATTTCCCATAAATAGGCACAATTTTATTAAAATAATTTTCGCTCAAAACGAATCGTTGAAAAATCATTCTCGATCGCCAAATTTCTCCATTATTACTTATCACCAACTACGGACAAAACATAATAGCTATTAGTAAAGTTATCTCGACAATTAATTAAAATATAATAATCGTAGCACTAAAATTCAAACGAATGAATATTATTCAAACAATTTACCTAAAATAACAATTTACTCCAAGAAATTCTTCAATTTTTCAATTCCCAACCAATTTCGCACGAGCAGAGTTTCCACAATTTCTCTCGAATTCGCTCTTCTTTCGAGATCTTGCCTCAGAATAAAATACCTTGAAACGAACATTATATATATATATTCCCTCCTACACCCCCAGACAAGCGGCGTTATTAAATCAACTTGCGCTTTGGATCGTCGATCCAAATCGTTTCCACGTACCATTAAGGGCTCGTCGAATCGGCATCGACATCGATGGATCCGAGGCGGACGTTGAGGAGGCTCTGATCGTTGCCCCTCGCGTTTATTAGCGCGCAACGAGGCTTTTATCGGGGCACGAGAAAGGGCCCGCGTACGTGTAAGTGTAAACGTTACGTGTGTGTGCGCGCGCGCGCGTGTGTGTGTGTGTGTGTGTGTGTGTGTAAAACTCGATTCGAGGAGGAATCGAGAGACGGGTATCCGTGGCGCGGGTCGCGAGATGGAAGTTGCTCGGGGCGTGGTAGATGCATTATGGATATACTGTTTCACCGAGCCACGCATCGATGCAACTTCGACCCGGGGCCCCGTCGTGGCGTGGTTTTATGCCGAGCCGCGCCGCGCCGGCTACATTGCTCGCGCACACCGCGTGGATCGCGTTAATGGAACGTTTTCCACGCGCGCACGTGTTGCTCTCTCCGCGCTCCTAACCTCTTCTCCTAACTTTCATTTCCAGTTGTTTCCTTCTTTTCGAGAGAGAGAGAGAGAGAAAGAGAGAGAAAGAATTTTTTCTTGTATTTTGTTTAGCGAAATCAATCCAGGATCTGGAGGAAAAAATTTATATCCTGATTCGCGATTAAATGCGTAAATAAAAAGTCGCGTAAAAAGCAAAATTTGTACGAAACGTATGACGAGTGTGTAGATTCTTTTTTATTGGAATATGGAATATCAGTTTCTGCCATATTTATTATCCTGGTAGTAATTTAGACGAGATTATAGAATCGTATGAAAAAAATGATTAAAAAATTTATAATAATTATGATATTTTGAATTTCTTTTGTATCGACTGATCGTAAACGGAGAAAAATCTTCGTTCTTTGACTCAAATTACTAGATTATAAAAATATCAATAATTTTATCAATTCAATTAATATTTTGCTCGAGTTTGTCTTCTTCAAATGTCAAATGATTCTTGGCCAATTATTATTCCGCTAGGAACGGCATACTCTTCTGATAAAAAAAAAAAAAAAAAAGAATACGATGGAACCTGATTCTCCATTAGAAACACGCATCTCATTAATAGTTAACACTCAGTTCCAAGTTTGCTAAATTTGTCACAACATTCGTCAACATTCGACGATTCTAATAGAAAAATATGAAGCACAGATTGAAGCATCGATTCTCCTCTCGTTAGAAATCACGAATTCTCCTCCTTCCACTCGTCTCTCTCGAAAAACAAGGAAGGATCGATCCGATATCACGATACCGGGGCGGAAATAGAGGGCGGTAGCCGTCCGGCAGAGGCAGAAGGCAGAGGCCAGAAGGAGGGGACGAGATAAATTAACCGAGGTGGACGAGTGAGCGCATCCTGATCAGCTGGTACGTTTTGATGGAATCGTGCACGACTACCCGGCCGAGGATCGAATCTAAACAGCGGACGTCGCACCATCGAGGCGAGAGGAGAGGTTGGCCGAATGCTAATGGCAGATGCGATGCTCGATCCGAGACGTTCCAGCCGTGCTCAGATCGTCTATCGGCACCCGGGAACCCTCTTCGTTAGCGCGACCACGAAAGAGTTTCGCCACCCCCCACCCCTTCGCCTAAACCGGACATTTTCACCGGCCACTTCCTCCACCGTCCGTGATTCATCCTTCGGTATTATCGGGTGCGTATCGAGCCTCCATCTTCGCAGATACCGCTGCTACACTCCCTTTGGAATGCTACGTAACGGTAGGCGGCCCCGTGTCTCTCTCTCTCTCTCTTTCTCTTCTCTTCTCTTCGCCGTTTGATGGATCGCCATCGCGCGAGATCCGTTTCCACGATTTGATTCCTGGCCAATGTTCTTTCCCTTTGTGGAAGGGAATTTTTTTTTCCGCCGCCAAGAGATATCTCGCTTCTGATTAATTCGTGACAGGGTTCGGAGAGAGAAGGGAGCTCTTTTCTTCACCCTTTAATTGTGGGCACTTTTAGCCGATCCCTCTAAAAAAAATATTTTACTAAGATCAAATTGTAATATTAGACGGTATAATTCTAATTATTTTATAAATTGCAAAAAGTATAGAAAGTAGGAAAGTATTGTGTAATAAAACATACAAGTTATTACAGAAATCTAAAAATCTTAAAATTTATATTAAAACTTCATTGCTTTATTCGTCGACATTTTGATCAAGGCGCTTTTTTCTTGAACTGGAAGAAGTAGAAGGCTTATATCAATATTAAAGAAAGTTCACAAAAATATACTTTGAAAGAGATTCGAATAACAGTGAAAATGAAACTAAACTTTTATCTTGTATTAAAATGAAAATAGGATAAAAAATAAAAGCATGCCGACTAATAAAATGCACTTTATAATCAACGATAATGAATAAAATAAAATGAAAATAAGTATATACATTCTAATTTTAAATTATATTACTGTGAAGTGATATCTATTTTATTTTCATTTTAGTGATATATGATAAACCACAACCTATATTTGATATTAGCAAAAATTAATATGTTTATATACCACACCTGCCTTTGACTATAATTTTAATACATAATTTATAAACCACTCGTAGTTAAAGAATTTTTTGCAAAAATGCTTGAAAGTCGGAATCGTTGATGATCAATCGTTGAGCATTTTCCTATGCGTCGAGAAAATTATGAGCATCTTTAAGCTCGCTTAGGAATTCATAGGGGATCTGAAATGGAAGCATGGATAAGTTTGGAAGTGACGAGAATTCAATTCAATCAGTTTATCGATCGAAAAAGAAAAAGCAAGCTTCTCGAAAAAGCGAACATTCGCAAAATACCTTGGAGCAAAATTACCAGAGTTGAAATGTCGATGAATCGGTCGATAAATTAAATGACTAATATCGGATCGGGCGGGGCAATTACAACGCGTCCAATCGATCCAACGGCTATTTACTCATTGTCCGTGGATACGTGGGCTCTGGTTGACGCACCCCTGGCGGACTTTCACGGCGCGAGACACCTGTGACGTGGTCGGGCATTGTGCCGACATTTTACAGGTGACTCCACCTTCTGCGATCCAGGTTTATACTACCACCTCGGACACTGCCGCGTTCTATTATCTTGCCGCTAACCCGTAGATCCTTCGACAAGATACCCATTGTCCGGGAAGGTTACCGTACTGCCCACACCGAGCCTCCACAACTTGCACGCTCTCCGCCATATTCATCCGTCCGTCTGAACAAATGTTCCCTCTCCTCGACCATCCTCTTCTTCCTCTTCTTCTTTCTCTGATTTCTGTTGTTTTTTGTTTGATTATATCCTTTTTGCTTTGCGAGAAAAAATTATGGTTTCCTTTTTTCTTAACTTTTGCACAATAGATCTTAGACTGAAATTAATGATGTATGAATGTTTTTGGTTGATAATTAATAAGATATAGATAGAGATTAATTTTTAACTTTTGTGCATACTTAGACTGAGTGTATAAATAATTTTGAAGGTAGATAATAAATGTCGAAATTGTGATTTTTCTTATTAACTTTTGCATAGTAGCAGATCTTAGCCTGAAATTAATGATGTATGAATGTTTTTGATTGATAATTAATAAGATATAGATAGAGATTAATTTTTAACTTTTGTGCATACTTAGACTGAGTGTATAAATAATTTTAAAGGTAGATAATAAGTGTCGAAATTGTGATTTTTCTTATTAACTTTTGCATAGTAGCAGATCTTAGCCTGAAATTAATGATGTATGAATGTTTTTGATTGATAATTAATAAGATATAGATAGAGATTAATTTTTAACTTTTATGCTTACTTAGACTGAGTGTATAAATAATTTTGAAGGTAGATGGTCGATAATAAGTGTCGAAATTGTGATTTTTCTTGTTAACTTTTGCATAGTAGCAGATCTTAGCCTGAAATTAATGGTGCATGAATGTTTTTGATTGATAATTAATAAGATATAGATAGAGATTAATTTTTAATTTTTGTGCATACTTAGACTGAGTGTATAAATAATTTTGAAGGTAGATGGTCGATAATAAGTGTCGAAATTGTGATTTTTCTTGTTAACTTTTGCACAGTAGCAGATCATAGCCTGAAATTAATGATGCATGAATGTTTTTGGTTGATAATTAATAAGATATAGGTAGAGATTAATTTTTAACTTTTGTGCATACTTAGACTGAGTATATAAATAATTTTGAAGGTAGATAATAAGTGTCAAAATTGTGATTTTTCTTGTTAACTTTTGCACGGATTTTAGATTGAAATTAATATAAACGAGAGCAGATTATATTTATTGCTAAATTTATCCTTTTTAAATAAACATATAAAATGAATATCAAATAGCTAGATACAGCCAAAGAATAGAAACAAGAGAGAAAAGAAAAAAAAGAAAATTTCTTTGTACATAATTCCATCCAACCATTTCTCTCCACTTTTGATCCACCTTATACCTGTAATCCCAATTCCATTTTTCACACGATTTCCTACTCCTCTCCGCTTTGCGCCTTTAATCAATCGGAAATAAACAGGCCTCTTAGGCTTCGTTCCTTGGCGGAATTCCCTCCTTCCTCCTCCCCCTCTCCTCCTCCGACAAGGTATCCATTGTTCGGGAAGCACGTACCATTCCCCGGTTGATTTACTCGTACAAATGTTTCTTCTTCGGGCCACTCTTCACCACGTCGGCCACGAGCGAAGCGCCGACAGTTCCCTTTGTCGATTTTGATTTGTTGGCTCTCGCATGGTCGGCGGGTTCGCGGTTCCACGGATAAATAAGAGTCGGTTGCGCTTGGAACGGGCCGGCCGCTTGGGTGCCAATGTCGGCAAATGGAAATACATTACTCGACAAGTTCGAGAACCGAGAGCCATTTTATGCTTCGACTCGCTTTATCTCTCCTTTCCTCTCTCTATATTTCTTATCCATCGTGCCTTCGTTCTATCGTGATCCGCTTCCTCCAAGTTTTTATAACCGCAATATCCTTCTTCTCCAATTATTCTAGCTTCCGCGAGGAAAATTGGAAAGATTTTCGACAAAAACGAGAGAGTTCGATAATTTACCGTAATCTCGCCTTTTTTTTTTTTTTTTTAATTCAAGAATCTTGTTGGAATGGAAACATTTATACGCGACATTGTTGGACAAATGTTAAAATTACTTTTCTGGAAAAAGAAAGAAAGTGGGCAAGATTATTTGTCATATTTCTCTTCTTGTAATATTAGATGTAAAAGTAGTAATATAATTTGATACTTTACTCTGTTCGAGGTTATAATTATTAAATGTGTTTTGTTGTTCGTAAATGATACGTGAATCTTCAAATATTACGATCGAAGTTAATTTTCATCCATTCATTGAAATATCTGTCTCGTTAAACATCCAAGTGAAATTTATTACGCTTAATAATAAAAATTGGATTCAAAAATATATGTGAACACAAAAACATTTTCAAGCAGAGACACTTCGAAACCAGTATTCGAGTAGGCAGCTAACCTAAAAGAGCAGAGATTTTCAACACGAAACAAGAAAAGTAATTTATTCTAACACGCGATCGATATCATTTCCTTGGTTAAGAGAACTTTGGATGGATCGTTAATACATTTTTCCGTTTTAAACGGTTTTTAGTCTTAAGATCGAATGGACTGTAATGATAGTAATAGCCTGATTAGGCCGAGATTAACTATACCGCGGACTATAATCTTCCACTATATCAGCCTGGATAAAATTTGTAATTATGCCTCTTTTTTACCATCCCTTAATACATCTATTTCTTTCCATCGACGATTTAAACGGCGATCTGCGTTTATTTCGTAGATATTACATCGTCGACACGAGACCGATCGAAGACGAAGATTGTAATTTTATCGTTAAAGTTCGAAGTATTTAAGCACTTCACGCTGATGAATCAGATGTAATCTGTAAATTTATAACAATAAAAAGTGCAGAGGAAAAGAAGAAAAAAAAAATCACAATTGAATCGCGTATCTTACAAGAACGGTAGAAAAATTCGAAATATGTAATCGTAAATTATAGATCGAAAAATTTACAATCAAGTGCGCATGCGTGAAATGTCAAAGGTGTAGAAAGAATATGGCAGATCGACGTTCTACGTTTGAGATAGCTTGCAATCTTCTCGAACTTCTCGAATTAAATATGCATGATTTATGGTATAACTGTTATCACACGATTAATTATATGCGATTGATCTATATGTGCTATCGAAAGTACTAAAATGAATGATAATCTGTCAGATATTTTTGCGTCACGGTTTACGAGAGATCAAAGTTTCGTGATATTAGAATTATGATTAAATTAGATTAAATCAAGTTAGGTTCTTAAATTTCTTAAATTTTTTTTTTTTTTTTGCGTTTCATATTATAATTTCTACTTGACAATTAATTTAGTCCAATTAGCAAACGTGTATAAGTTACGTAATTTTAAAATTTATTCGATCTAGAATTAAAACTTGATTTAATTAAAACGTAACTGAACATTGACACATGAAAGAACACGAAAACAGTTGCTTTGATCATCGACCTCGACCGAGGTAATTAACGAAGGCGAGGCACTTATGATTTAATAGATCAGTCGCAATTGACACGAGGTTAACCTCGTACCCATGAGTAGAGGTTTAATGTAATAGATTCGAGTGTCCGACAAGCGAGCTAGCCTGTTTTTGCGAGCATTCCATTCGTCGGTATCCCGTGCACCGTTACCATTATTCGTTCATTAAGATTATAATTACTCGGATAAACAATAAGGACCCTTTTATCCAGTTTATGTCGCGCAATCGCGCCAACCCATCATTACGAAGCCACGTTTAAACACGTCCGAGTTATTAAGTCGGATAACAGTTAGACCATTTTACCTTCGTCCTCTTCCTACTTGCATCTTCATCGTTTCTTGTCTCTCTCTCTCTCGTAATTACTCGCTTGATGAGATAATGATAACCCTTGTAAATGAATGAGAGCGAATGGTCAATCCGTTCCAACGAACAATACGTGGATGACTAGTTCGTTAAAATTCTTCCGAGTTGCTAATGTACTTCTATAGTAGTAGCTAGTTTCCATTTTTTCTTTTTCTTTTTAATTTTTTTTGCATCAGGAAATTTTGTTCGAATGATAAATCAGCAACTCGAATTACGTATACGTAACTTGAAAAGATAAGTAATTGGTAGAAGAGAGTATACACAATACATATCGAAATCTAATATTTTCTATATTATTTGTGAAATCGTGACTATCATTTTACAAATTTCTTAAATCAAAAATATTTTCCCACATTCTCAACTCGTGTAACCCGTTTACTTATATCCACATATTTTACTCAACCTAAGCTAATCTAACCTAACCTATTCAAAACACTGTATCTAACTGTATCCGCATCGAAGCTCGAATTATCTTTCTGCAAAAGTGCGAAACCCGTATCGTTTCACAAGGATCGGCACGATAGAGGTCAAAATCGAACATATCGTAAGAATTCACCAAGTAGTCAGGTCGAATCATGCAAAGGATATGTATCGTTTCTCGTTTGCGTTTCGCACATGGCAATTTAACACGTGCTTATTATTGCGCTTAGTTCACTCCTCGTGTTTTCGATACTCGATAAAATTAAGAGGTCACGGAACAACAGGGCGAAATAGGAATCCGAGCTTAGCGCTTGCGAAATCCTATCTGGAGGGAAAACTGACCGCGTTCAACTGTTCTCTCGGTTCTCTCAGATTGCGTTGCAGGTCTCTAATGTCAGAAAGGCAGCGGCCAGGTAGATACGAGAGGATAAAAGCGAGAGAGAAAATTATGGGGAGCCGACACAGTCACGAGAAGGCCTTCTAAGGTCGCCACGAGAACGAGAATTCTCCAAATACCTTCGTTGAGGTCGCGTTCGATTGGCTGATCGATTTGGGAATCGCTAGCCAAATTATTTCACAGTTAAACATCTCGAAATTTAATTCTCGATTGTTACATCACTTTGGAATTCTTACTGCGACGAAATCTTTAAAATTGCCAAAAACATCTTTTTGCACTCACATGGCATAAATTAAATTACAGCTAAGAATTATTTATTTAAGCCCTGATTCGATATTGAAAATCAATTATTCCTTCTTTGATTAATTTTTCTATCGAAAAAATTGATTCTGTATTCTTTAAAAATGGATTAACCACGAATATAAAGATTCCACTGTTTTTCTTTTAATTTGCTTCGAATTTTATCCAACTTTACACTAATCACTTTCTCTTTTAAACACTTTTTCCTCAGTCCACGACCTTTCCGATTGATCTCGCATTATTTCGTCCCGAGCCATATTGTTTACAAATGATTCGTGAACCAATCTACGATCTCGGAATGCGAGCGAGGTCCGCCGGTAATGCGGGTTCCGTTTTTACCATGCAGAGAACAGCCAGCTGAACGGAAAACGACGAAAGGCGTAATCAAGTTTCGGATTATATCCATCGGTCTGATTTTTCTCGGCGCACCTCTCTCCGCGCATACCTGTCGTATCTTACTATATAGCAGCTAAGTCATTGTCGATCCAGCTTCGTTTTCGTTCTCCATCATGAAAACAGAACGTTTCTATCCAGGTTAGTTTATCCAATCTCTTTCCATGTCGATCAGGTACATTAATAAAGGGAAACGTCGTCGTAAATGATAGCGATATAACAATTTAATAGATTCGTCTGGAACAATGCCGAAACAAACCGTTTCGAGGTTATAAAAGCAGTATTCACATTATATATAATAACACGTAATTTCGAACAAAGTATCGTAATGTATCTATATATGTATAATTAATTATTTCAATTGATTTATTGCGATTGATCGTAGATCGAAGATAAGAATAATGATAATTATCTTTGTTACCGAATATGTGTTTGTAATATTGACAATTGAAATAACGTTTTTTTTTTTTTTTTTAACTATCTAAAATATTGCTTATCTTTTTTCTCGCAATAAATCGAAATATAGATCGAATCCAATCCAATTTTATTCCAAGTTTCAAAATCGTTTTCGAATTCGCGATACTCGACTGCTATGTGATTTCTTTCGTAAACTTTGTTAAAAAAATTCAAGTTTCTTTTTATTCCCTATCAATATAGGAACA